TGGCGCGATTTTATGCATTTCTGAAGAGGGCGTTATTCCTCCACAGCTTGTTTGGAGCCATGGTCGTATTGTTTCCACGAAGGTCTTAACTCCCTCTGTCATACTCAGCGGTGCCTCTTTGCTACTATTTCCGTATAATGTTGCGCTAAATGTCGAGCTGAAGCTGGGCCTGGCAGCAAGTCTGTCGTAGTATCCAAATACTTGAGCCCAGGCCACGGCACCGCTTCCACTCCGGCAATTTTGACCGGACTTAGGACAACATATGAACTGATCATAGTCGGGTATTTCATGTTCAGACGGTATAGATACTCGAAACAAAGTTTTCCATGCTGAACGCCGAGTCCGTTGGGGATGTAAGTTGATTGCAAAGTTCTTCTTAATCACTTCGTTCTTATGCCCATTAATTTCAACCATAAACCCAATTTCCCGCCATTGCAAGACGTTCCCCACGAAAGTTCGGTTGGCATGGACTTCAAGCTTCAGGTATGAAAGATGATTGGGCTTCTCCTTTATAGCGGATGAGACTACATTAGTACTTCCATCCGGTAGGCACACGTCTAAAAGCACCTTGCAAAGTTTCTGCTGCCACTGTGATCTCGACTTGGGGCGCATGCGTGTGTTATCACTGTCTGTCACGTAAATGTGAACAGATTTGAAACGTTCACCAAGCGCTAGTTCCACGATGGGACCAGGCGAAAGGACTTCCGCAGCAGTTTGCTTATTTTTCTTTTCTCTTCCGGTAGAAATAACGTCCGTGGTTGCCCAGTCTGACTTTGAAAGTTTTTGTGCTGCCCACGTTCGCCACTGTCTCTTAAAGCCATCGAGATCTTGATTTACCATTTGATCCAAGTGACGCCAGCCTTCAATCTGTTTGACAAGGTTTACAAGGTTAAACATTTGAATTCTCGGAGACCTTAAATTAAATAAGTATAGATGTTTTATGGATCCTTTCAGTTAGCAAATGAAAACAATTTAATCTCTATCCCTGGTCGTTTTTTTTAGCTGCACGGCATAAATTTCTTACGATGTAGGATGAAGGCATGACAACGTACTGTATAACTGAAGATGCAATGATTCGTAGGCCCCTATTTAATTGGCATTCTGTCTTGATCGTAGATCGTGCATAAAACTATAAACAGGAGCCTTTGTTGTGGATCTTGCCATCTCAATGGCGGATATTTCAAGTTCATTACTACATTGATTGAAAAAAAACAACAAACAAAACAAAACAACAACAAAAAACAAAAAAACAAAAGTTGTGGACCGTACATTTTGCATGTCTTTTATGAAACTTGACAAGTATTCACCGGCAATGTGTAAGAGGAGATCTTGGATGTTCAAAGCTATTAAAAAAATGCCACTATTTAGCCAAGAGATAAAAAACAAAAAAAAACAACAAAAAAAAAAACCACTTTTAAATTTAGTCAGCTTTTTTTCTCACCCCAGGGATATCCGCTGTCCAGTTGTAACTTGCAGGCACAACAGTTCCATTATCATTCTTACAAATTGTCAATCCCATTAGTGACAGCCGATAAAACTTCTCGCAACGCTAACCGTTCTTCTGAGCCTGTTGTATGAGTTTATCTGTAGGTCTTGGATCCGGGCCTCTCTCAACCTTTCGGAAATCTCCAGTTTTACGGCCAGAAGACAGCACTATGTAATCACTTCCCATGTCAATTTCGTAGTAGGCTACAAAGTCTGGATCCAGGTCCAGACGATAAATTGGACAAGTGGGACCAAGGTCATCAGATACGTTGACTTGGGTGAGTTCTGTGAAGTCTGGATCAAGGCTACTCAGTTCAACTATTGAGTCCAGCACCTCATAAGGCAGCTGTAAGGCCGCTGTGCTGTATCCAAGGGTGATGATAAGAGCCGTAAGCAGCAGGCAGGTTTGCGGCCAACTTGCCATTATAATCCAAGCTTTCGAGCTGAGAAAGATAGTGGAACATAAACAAACAGCAGCAACGACAAAGAAGTAAAAAATGAAATTCGAAGCACCCGGCGAAGAGACAGAGATCGAGTACCAAGAAGTAAATTATGAATTGAAAAATGAGCGAGAAAAGGTAGAGTAAGATTGAATGAAATGATGAATGATTAACCATGAAATGAATACATGAGAGAATTAATGAATCAAAGGCTGAATGAATGGATTGATGGGAGTAGGCAAAAGGAGTCAAAGCACAGTTAGGCAAAAAGCAAGGAGCCAAGGAGCCGAGAAGCCGAGTACCCGGGTACCCGAGTACCCGAAGAGCCGAGAAGCCGAGGGGCCGAGGAGCCGAGAAGCGGAGAAGCCGAGGAGCCGAGAAGCCGTGAGGTCGAGAAGCCGAGAAGCCGTGAAACCGAGAAGCCGAGAAGCCGAGGAACTAGTGAAGGAAGGAACGTGGAAACGTAATACACTAGAGATAGAAGAACCCGAGAACCAATTAGAGAACCGGAGAGCCCTAGAACCCCTATAATTACACCGCATTATTACTTTTTCGAGCGCTAAATTCTTTTGACCTTTTGTCATTCCATTCGTACATGGAGCGTATTTGAATTTTTGATCCAAAACAGAATGGTCTCTGTAGTTTTTCGGATCATTTGAGGCCCTTTCAGTGTTGAGGTCATAACAAAATGAGTTAACCTGCGTTGATTTTGAATGAAAAAGGAAAACTTAACAAGTCAAAATGTACCGTGTTTATAGGTGAAAGACATTCAGAGTCCCATAAGGAGAAATTCTCTTGAAAACAAAAAGCAAATTGTGCGACGAAATGGCTGGGTATATATATCCTGGTTCGTTGACTGATTAGTCGACTGAGCAGTCCACAAAGTGTTCCCAAATTTTAGGCCAATTGAATGGGTAATCGACAACATTGATCCTTAATTATTGTGCAACCTAGTCCGATGGAAATGTACAAATAAATATGATTGAAAGAAAAAAAGTTCACAGAGTGCTAAACAGTGTTATTTGACCGGTCTTGATCAGAAAGGACTAAGAAGGGAAAACTTGCTTACCTTTTTTCAAGCTTTTGTCTGACAGAACGCTAAACGGTTTTCGCGATGGAAACAACAGGATGATCAGTCGATAAGTTAGACTGTTAACTGACTCGAATGAAGATCTCATCTAGTTATTTATCCATGTCTACTTTTGTCGGTTTTACTCCTTCAGCGACGTAAGCATAAGTGCAAACGGAAAGCGTTCGTGTATTGGGTTATTTTTTTCGTAGAAAAATACTTCTCAGTCACGTCTCCAGAGGCGTTCAAAAAGTTCAGTTGTTATCTGACTCGGATAAGTATCTCAGCTAGTTATTTATCCATGTCTACTTTTGTCAGTTTTACTTCAGAAACGTAAGCATAAGTGCAAACGGAAGGCGTTCGTGTATTGAGTTTTTTTTTTTCCCAGAAAAATACTTCTCAGTCACGCCCCCAGAGGTGCTCCAAAAGTTCGGTTGTTATCTGACTCGTATAAGGATCTCAGCTAGTTATTTAGCCATTCATGTCTGTGGTTTTGTCGGTTTTACTTCAGCAACGCAAGCATGAGTCCAAGCGGAAGGCACTGTTAGTTTATCGAGTTATTTTCCGACAAAAGACACTCCTTAGTCGTGTTTGTATGTCGCGTCAACGAGAATAGTGCTACTTCTTGCATCTTCAAGCATAAAACAAAGTTTCTTTTTTGAATTTCTTTCTTGAAAACAGTTTAGTTTTCAATCTAGCATGCAGTGCATGATTCTCTTGAGCGCTACATTGTTCTGACTTTTGCACGTGGAACATATTTTAATTTAAACAAAATGTTCTGTCTGTTTTGTTCAGAACTCTTCGTTAGCTATTAGCAATTCTAGGTTTTTCAAGGTATATAAGATCCAGAAGATGACAGTTTATCAGTTTCAATTTTATTACACTTCTTATGCCACCTATTTAAGTTTAGAGGGGAAAGGTCTTAGTGTAGGAGATAAAGTGATAAACAGACGATAAGTTGGCTCGAATGAGGATCTCGGGAAGTTGTTTAGTCTTGTTTGATTTTGTCGGTTTTACTTCAACGACGCAAGTAGAAGTCCAAACGGAAGGCACCGTTTGTTTATTGACTTATTTCATGCCATAAAAATATCTCTTAGTCACGCACTCAGTGGTGTTTGTACGTCACGTGACTGGTAAGGTTAAGGCTACTATTGCATCATCAAGCATAAAACTAGGTTTCCTTCTTGAAGGCAGTTTCTAACTCTGTGACTGCATATTTTTTTTATTTAAGTTACATCGTTTTAACTTTTTTGCACACGGTTTTTTGTTCTGCCTGGTTTGTTAAGATACTGATTAGTTCTTCGTTAGCTATTGGTGTTTCTAAGCTCAGATTAGATCCAGAAATGGGTAGTTAACCAGTTTGAATGGTTCCGTCAACTCCGTGCTCGCTAATCCCCCTCCACCCCCCAACTGAGGGGCATCTTGTCTTTAAAATCTTCAAATGCTACACAGTGGGCCCCTATGAACTTCGATCGGGAAGAATGCAAATGCCCTATCCGTGAGACAAGGTCAAAATTT